CACCCCCCACCCCCTTCCACTCAAACACACAAACACAAACACAGTGTAGAATTCTGTGGCTGTGCTATAATATGCTGCGTGTTTTTGTCAGTCGTGGTGGCGTCACTCTAGGTCATAGAGTTATACTCTAGGTAGATCTACACACAACCAGAAATGTGCGTCGATCGCTCCCGTGGGGCTGTGCTGTGCCTTGTCACTGTCGGTTTTTGGCTGCTCTTTTTTTGTTTTGTTTTGTTTGGTTTTGTTTGTTTTTGCACGCAACCCGAGCTGGCCCACATATCTGGATCCGGATTGGCTGGCTTCGGTCACACCTCCAGATGAGAAAAGGTTGGACTAAGGTCACGCCAACAGTGATCGGTGGGCGGGTAGTCCAGATTGGCTGCGAAAAAGAAGAGTATGGCGGTTTTCTATGACACCTCCATACAGTTCTTTATTTCGTCTAGGCATGACAAAATGTCCATCTTATTCCTTCATATATTTCAAAATTTAAAAATTTTACTTCAGAATGTCGTATGTCGACTGTTGAAAACGAGTAAAAGAAGTTCAACCGCAATATTATCGATTTTGGAATTGATTTAAATATCCACGAGATAGCCCAGCTGTCATTCGAAAAAAAAAATCTGGTAGATCCTGTTAGTCGAGCGAGGTTTGACTGCTGTAGAAACTGTGCTGTTCACTCGAGGGGGAGGACGTGGTAAATTAGATCTAAAATCTACTCCTCACTCTCACACCGTCCATCTCATACTTTTTTTTAAATATAAAAAAGGTCATAAGTGTTGTAGAGTCGGACAACCAGCCATCAACATGCTTCGTGTGGTCACTCAGTCCCTTCAGAGAGGAGGGATCTCCAGCGCTCGTCCAGTAGTGGTGTCAGCTCGCTCGTTCAGCTCCGACCTTGATCACGATGAAGAGCCGAGCTTTTTCGAGCAAGTCGAGTTGTTTTTCGATAAATCCGCGGAAATGTTGCAGCCACGGCTCATGGAGAAAGTCCACGGGAAGAATCTGACGACGGAGGAGAGGAAGAAAGTCGTGGAGGGAATCCTGAGGATTGTGAAGCCGTGCAACAACGTCATGGCGGTCAACTTCCCCATCAAGAGGGACAATGGTCAGTTCGAGATGATCGAGGCGTACAGGGCACAGCACAGTCAGCACAGGACGCCGTGTAAAGGAGGTGAGGACATGGCATGCTATCATACTGTCGTTATAACAATATTATTGACTTAATTAAGGAGGGATCCGTAAAGAGCGAGCGACCGCTATGAAACTGTAGAATAGAGGGTTAAATAAAAAGGGTTTGGGTTTGTGATAGGGTTAGGGTAAGGGATAGGGATAGGTCTCTTCTTTATTGTATTTGTTGGGGTGGTCGTTCGTTGCGGAAGTCTTTCCCAATATTGATTTAATTAGATTAAAAAGAAGGAGGAATTCTGTAGCCTAACGAATGACCGCTAGGCCTATACACTTATACTATAAATAGATAAAGGGTTAGGTTAGGGTTAAAGTTAAGGTGAGGTTTGGGTTAGGGATAGGGTTTGGGTAAGGGTTAGGTTTCTTCTTTATTGTGTTTGTTGGGGTGGTCGCTCGTTATGGAAGTCTTTCCAAAAGGAGGAAATATGTAATGAACTGAGTGTTAGGGATTGGCTTTGGGTTAGGGCTATGGTTAGTAATAAACTCCTGCCGAGATGCTGCGTGTTACGGTTGTCAAAGGGTACTAAAGGTGTGTAGGTCTTCTGAAGAAAAAAAACGAGTTGGTGGAGTGCCAACTACTGGCTGTGTAAAAGTTAAAATGTTACAGAAACACGAGTAAACACGTCTAATTTTACGATCTTGGGGGACAGAAGAGTTTCTGCAACAGCAAGAACAATGACCAAGACCATGGGGTAATATCTATAGACCAAACCGGGATAGGGTAATGAGGAGAGTGTTTGTTCATGGCCAAATATACCCTGATCCTGGGTGAGAAAGGCATTGATGGTGGTGATGCTGATGATGATTAGATTAAAGATATGTGTAGATTTTTAGTCAGAACACTATGTATTGTCTGTGTGTTGCTACCTGTATTTGTTTGTATCAAAGTACTCAAAGCCTAACTAAAACTATCGCTCCTTCTTTTCTTTGAATTTAACACTCTAGTAACACCTGTAACCTTCTGAAATTACATGGTCTGTGTGTGTTGCAAGTGTCGTAAAACTTTTTATTGAAATTAAAACAAAACTTTTTCCCCTCTCCCACCAGGTATCAGGTACAGCATGGACGTGAACTTGGACGAGGTCAAGGCCCTTGCGGCTCTGATGACCTACAAATGCGCCGTGGTTGACGTGCCGTTCGGCGGGGCCAAGGCCGGTGTCAAAATCAACCCAGCCAACTACTCCACTACAGAGCTGGAGAAAATCACCAGGAGGTTCACCGTCGAGCTGGCGAAGAAAGGATTCATCGGTATGAATTTTTTTATTTTTTTAAATAATAAAATTAATCTTGTCTGTAGTTTCAGTTACTTACCTCTATTACTTTTTTCCATGATCCTTTTCTGTAATTAATCTTTGGTTTCAGTTACTTACCTGCTTTTATTTGTACTTTTTCTTACCTTTTATACAGCCAGGTGTAGAGGGGAGTGTCAGAGGTGGGCTAGGTGTGTTGTTTTTTCGGTCGTCACATATTGTGTCATTAATTGATGAAGGGTCTTTGGAAGAGAGAATTTCAGTAAAATGTCAAAATTGTATTTTGCTTCATTTAAGTACAAAGATGAAGAAGAATGTTATCAAGCTCTTTCCGTAATATGTAGTTTCAGTTGAGATCTGTTTGTGGTAGCCAGTGTTATAAGGAAGAGAAATGGGGAGGGGG